GATCTCACCTGTTTAGACTCTCACCTGTTCTGGGTCTCACCTGTTCAGGGTCTCACCTGTCCAGGCTCTCACCTGTTCAGGATCTCACCTGTTTAGACTCTCACCTGTTCTGGGTCTCACCTGTTCAGGGTCTCACCTGTTCAGGCTCGCATACGAGGAGGGACTGAGCTCTGGCTCCGCGCCTCTGAGTTGTCAATAGAACAATGCCTCCTTCTCGTGAAATATGTGCACACTACAGTATATACATTTTATTATTATTATTTCTACCCACCTCGCTGTGTGTGTGTCCATCTCTGTCTAGGTGTCTGTCCGTGTAACGTACCAAGTGTTGCGTCTCTTAGGTTCGCCACCACCAGCACATGAGCAGGGGGTACAGGCGGCGGCCCATGAACAGGTGGTGGTGATGTTGTTGATGATGACGACGAGGAAACTGACGCGAAGATTGTAGTTGTGTTTTCAGAAGGGGCTGCCTCATCTCTCCGGAAAGTCCCACTGGCTCAATTTTTTCCCCTCCCCCCTCGCGTGACACCCACGCCTCTGTGACCTTCCTTGGCCCTTGGCTTCAAACTTTAAACGCGCTGAGTTCCGGCGACCAACACGCTCTACATTTGTAATAATCGGCAATGTTTTTTTTGTGTGTAGTTTTCTTCGTTGAAGAAAGCAGTCACGTTGTTCCGCCGTTAGTTATGCAGTGTTGCTTCTGTCAGTATTCATCACTGGCCAATAACGTTTTATCATCTTAGTCCACAGATTTCTGAAGAGTAATGCTACCATGAGTTATTTTATTGTTTCATTTACTTCTCCATATTTCCCACGTGTGTCATAGTGCACGTTATATGTAATAGCTGCTTACCTTGCTGTTACGTGTTCTGTATTTACGAGTGCCATTAATAGAATCCATTTGTCACTGCAACTTGATAATGGCAAGCATGTCCACTCAAAAAGAGGAAATGAAACTACCATTCTTGCTGTTAGAGATGTAATTTGAAACATGCCACGCGGGTTACTCTCAGTAGTATGATGCGGAATATTTTTTATTGCTTACTATATATCCATTGTACATTGTTCTGATCGTGTTTTTTTTTTGCATTTTGTATTATTTCGTCACGTTTGTAAAATATTATTTGTGTTCTATACAACCCCGATAGACCCTCCCACCCCATGTCACGTGTGTTCCACCTTGGCCACTTCGCCATTGAAAATAAGCTTCTTAGAAATTCGCTGATATTCCTATAGAGTCGACCATCCTCCATATTGTCATGTATAACTGGTAACTTGGGAAACATTTGAAGCTAAATATTGCGAAAGAAAGAATCGCAAAATATGCGAAACATGCGTTTCGAGTATCGGGCTGCTAAAGATTTCCACACCAGCCACTTTCTTGAGCTATCATTCGTGGCCAGATCGCTTCTGAAAAAGAGCTGTCTTGCTCAGTGGGGCCTTACCTGGTAAAAAAAAAAACCCCTTTAGTTTAGTCTCACAGCAAAAAGATTTTGGGATTAATTCCGGTGCCTCTCTGCGTGGAGCTTGTACGGGCAACCTCCAGTCACACCAATTATCTCCCCATAGCTAAAACAAAAACCATACAATGTGCAGTAACCAGTTATTGGCCAAATATCCTAATGCTGACAACTTACACCGCAAACGAACTCAATTGAGATCACGCAGCAACAACATCGCCCCTTTACTGCGAACACTTGGCAGGACCCTCCTGAAAGAGAGTGAGTCATAAGACTCAGGCTGGGCTTTGATGATTAAATAAAGCATAGTGATACATTCGTGGTATAGTAAAGCGCATACTGAAGATAGTTAAGGTTAGGAAAATGCACTCTTCCTAATGTCGTGTATAAGCATTTAGGGGCCGTCCATAAATGACGTCACACAATTTTGGACGTTTTTTGACCCCCCCCCCCGTCACACGGCGTCACAAGAAGTCAGACCCCCCCTCAAATATGACGTCACAAAGCTCTGCCCACAATTTTGGACGTTTTTTGACCCCCCCCCCGTCACACGGCGTCACAAGAAGTCAGACCCCCCCTCAAATATGACGTCACAAAGCTCTGCCCCCCCCCCCCCCCCAAATAAAAAATGCTTCAAATCGCTTTAAACTATTGTCATTGTAGTGCGTATTTGATGTGCCGCTGCACTCTGATGTTGTAGGAGAAAACATTTATAAAAAAAAGTATATTTAATTCAGTAGAATGTGATCTTCTTTGGTTATTTCGGTAAAGTCACGTAGAATGAGAATAAAATTATAAATTGATAAAATAAAATAACACAATAATATTCTCACGACGTTTCGGCCACAACACAAGCAGCCTTCATCAGGTGAAGGGACGAGACTGTCTGGAGGACAGCGCTGGAGTGAAAAAGCCACGCTCAGATCGCGACCTTTAAGCTGTGTGAGAAGAAACAAAGCGCCTTAGAGTCGCGGCAGAATGTAATGTCTATATTTTTTTTAAGTTGCGCATTTTGATGTGACGTCACATTTCTCAAACCCCCCCCCCCCCTCGTCACACATCGTCACAAATGCCTGACCCCCCCCCCCCCCCAGGTGCGTGACGTCATTTATGGACGGACCCTTATTGAACATACAAGTGAAAATGTGTTATTGGGCAAAGACGCGCCATTCCCATGCAGTTAGGCGGTAGTACCGGGCACATGCCAATAGGGGGCAGCAGAGGGGCTGAGCCCCAGGGCTAAGAGACGATGGCCCATAGGGCCCAACGGTTACCCCTATGGAACGTCATGTCCAGAGGTACAGACCCCAAGACCCCAGGAGGGGGCTGGGGGATGACATCACCCCCCAGGTCCTTCTGGAAGGTTCAGGAAGGAAGGTGTGGCCGGGGCGGAGCGAGACACGGCCCTGCATAAAAGCCGGACCTCTGAACGGGTCCCGGCAGTCGTCGTTCACCCGAAGATCAAAGAGCCTCCAGGAGAGAATAGCCCAATGGGCATAGCCGTACCCCTGGCTAGGATCGGCTCAAGCTAATACCAGTGAAGATCGAATAGAAGAGCCCAAGGGTAGAACCGTACCCCTGGCTAGGATCGGCTCAAGCTAATACCAGTGAAGATCGAAGAGAAGAGCCCAAGGGTAGAACCGTACCCTTGGCTAGGATCGGCCCAAGCTAATACCAGTGAAGATCGAACAGAAGAGCCCAATGGGCATAGCCGTACCCCTGGCTAGGATCGACTCAAGCTAATACCAGTGAAGATCGAATAGAAGAGCCCAATGGGCATAGCCGTACCCCTGGCTAGGATCGGCTCTAGCTAACACCAGTGAAGACCCAATCTTCACCCAAGACGGAGTTAGGTTAGCCGGTGAGAGGCGTATTAGTCCGGAGGGGCTTCCTCCTTAGCGTCTCGGGTGTGAGGGGCCGTTACCCCTCTGTGTTAAGGAGGTATTGTTAAATAAATTCCGTGTTGCCTCAGAGAACTCTCCTCTAGTTATTTAACCCACTACACAGGTAATCCAATCATATTGTTTTAGCTTAGATAGAAGTGAAACAGACTTCAAATACTTTGGTATTGAAAATGTCAACTCATGCCTGTAGATGAACATGGCATTCCACTCGACTATGTTACGTCTCTCTGTTGGGTCAATGGTTGGTTCAAGGTCACCTGACCGCCCACCCCCCCCTCCATCCCCCATTGCTTTACTGCACTTGTGGTATGTGTAAGCATTACCTAAAAGTCGTTCAACTAGATTTCACCCACCATAAGCCTGCCACGAGTGTTTATCATCGTAACAATCAATTAATGATTAGTTGATGACCCCAACATTCTGCCTTTGAAAGCAGGAAACCCCGTGCAAGCCACGCCCAGCGCGACGTGCCTGATGACTCCGATTACATCACCAAGCCCCACCCATCACCTCCCATCCAGTAACACATCGGGGACAGAGGCATTCTTTTCCGCCTTATATTTTTAACGTGAACGGACCGATAATAGGGAGCGTAATTGGTTACTTAAATAATCGAATAGCCCAGCTCTATGCTCAGTTATATATGTCAATAGACAAGTTACTGTTGTAAATTCATTTGAAGGTAGCACAGGGCGCCACCGTGACGAGATGTTAACTACCTCGCCTGGTATGCGGGAGGTCGTGAGTTTGATCCCGACCCTGATGCCTGCTGCTGTATATTTAGAGTTTGCGTGTCGTTCTCCCTTTGGTAGCATGGATTTGTCTCCGGGTCCTCCGGGTTTTCCCTCCATATTTAGAACCAACGTGCATTTAGAGCATTTGTCACCTCGTTGAGCTATCATTTGTGGCCAGGTCTCTTCATTAAAAGAGCTACATAGCTCAGTGGGCTTTGCCTGGTAAAAATAAAACAGATAATAAATAAACAGTGCTACTCCTGGACTCCATAAAAGTGTTGCCACCGGCCTTAAAAGGTCATTATGGGGTCACAGATGGCACAACTTTCCTCAAGGGGCCATAGGCTTCATATTGGACAACTGGACTCGATGAAAATTTCTCTCTCTAGAGCCAACAATGTCTGTTTTTAAAAAAAAGCAACGTGTGACGGGTGACTGCTCAGTGCTTGAATGAAAGTTTCACGCCTTGCAAGGTCAGGGAGCGCTTTCTGCATGTCATTGTTTGACTTGCATCCCACTGGGATTTTTGCACACAGCGCTGAAATGCGGTGTTTTTTCTGGAAGACTTTTGCTGTTTTTTTCCTGGATTTTTATGTTGCGCGTAGTCACTTTAAGATGTTTCTTGTTCATGTTTTTGTTTGTTGCGGTTGCACCCGAATCAAGAGCTGCATGGCTCACAGGGTTATGCCTAATAAATTAAACTGAAACGAGACGGCATTCGCGGCATATGATGCACGCGTGCGTGGAGAACGTTGATGCGATTGCGGAGAGGCACGGGAATTGGCAGTCTTGAGAATCGTGGGTGCACGCTGCGTGAATCCCCATAGCTGCCGCACCTTATCCCCCCCCCCGCCCCCCTATGAGCGACGACGACAACAAAAGATCGCACACGTGCACACAGCAGGCATTTCAAAGTGTTATTGGAATCATCCAGACAAGAGCGCCGCAGGTACAGCTTCCGTCCAGAGTGGAACGCCGTGCCCTGCCGTGGCGTCGCGGGGCGGGAGCACTTTGACAGACTTGCCGCCGCCCGGGATGGCACGCTCGAGACGCGGACGCATTGAACCGCACACAAACACGACGAAATTATGCCCGCTGGTAAAAGAGCATGCATTCACGGTTTGTCAGAATTAACACCACGACGGATGGCAGCGGCTAAACATCTAAACGGATTCTCATGACACGGCACTAAGTTCACTTCAATTAGATAATTTTGGAATATATTTAATTACAGTCTGTTCAGCCAATTTAAATGATAACCGAGCAGTGTGCACTCTACAGACCCACGTCAAGGCGGGCCACACCGATGCTTTATGATATGCAAGGCAGAGGGTCATGCACAATAGTGTACCCATTAGCCGTGACAATGTACAACACCGTTGCTTGATTGGTGACATGATCAAAGCACTGTACAACACTGTTGAGGCTCCATTTTTTATGGTACCACTTTGGCTGCATACATTTCTGAGGGTAAAACACAGGCTGGATATGTTTGTCAACAAACACCGCCGTAAAACGAATTCGTTATAAGAGCGCAAATTCGACAGCTCGGAGGCAGATGTTTGTTAAATGATGACCGTGGCAAGTCGCCGGACCTCCGGCCTGTGTTTTGACTCCACTGCTAAATGCAGTTCCTGAAGTTTTTTTTTGTTTTCCAAAAAGGCCTCAACGAGTACAGAATAAATGCAGATTATAAGAAGAATGAGATTTAAGACAGTTACATAGTTATCTTTGCTCACGGATGTAGATCAGTCTAAGAACATTTAAAGTCTCCACTATTTCAGTCACAAGTCTTTATTTAAAATTACAATAAAGTACAGCGCTGCGATTGGCAAGCTGCATTACTGCGTAATAGCTTTCTATAGATGTCCGAAACATAAAATGACTGTGATCGGTTTTTTTGTATTAGTCCAGAATGGCAGTTCAGGAGATAACCGTGGTTATCGCTGCTCCCATGACTGCAGGCTAAACTGCGAAGGAAGGAGGACATCGTCCCGAGCGCCTTCGAATGGGGAAGTAAAATCAGGGGGAATAAATGCCACCTGTGCGAGTACAGCTGGCACGTAGCGCGCACTGCGACGCGTTGGCACGTCCAGTGCACACCGACTGTGCATCGTCGTGCATAGATTACCAGTGCCTAAGCCGCACTGCCGAGTGATCTTTCACGAGTGGATGGTCCTCGTCGCAAACAGCCCCACACGCAACCCTAACCCCCCCAAGCCCCGACCCAACCCGCCAGCCACCCTCGACGGCACAGCGCCAACCGACGCTCATCCTGGAACCCAAGGCTTGCCGTAGCGCACAGCTCGGACGTCCCGAGAGCCAAGCAGCCCGCGGTCGGCATCGTATACATATTCACCTCCGATTACTAAGACACACGTACACACATTCAAACGTGGGACATCCTTCAACGTTGACGGTTTAACAAGGGACTCCAGACAAATCCGTCCTCAAGGACACCGTCCTGTCGGCGGCTCGCCGTATTTTGGTGCACGGTGCGTGTCCGCCTGCGACACGACCAGGAGTCGACCTCTTAACCGGGGCGGACAACTCCCGCAACCCTCCCACCGTGGCCTCCGCCACGCGTTCCGATGCGTCCCCTTCGCGGCAGCGGCAGCGAGCCCCGCGGGGCAACCGCGGGGGCCCACCGGGCGAGAGGCGCCCGCAGGGCGACGTCGCGAGGCCGCCGCCTTCACACCCACGAGTCGGGCGAGTGCTGAACGTGGCCGGCCTCGTACGGGGACGTGCCGCAGGAAGGCTGCGCCGCCGGGTAGCGGTCGACGCGTCTCTCCGGCCTGGCGTCCCGGCGGGCGGGGCGGTGCGCGTGGCCCACGACGCCGCCGCCGCCGCCGTGCCCGCGCTGCGGGGAGTCGCGGAGCCCCGGCGCGACGGGCGGCGCGGGCGGAGGCGGCAGCTGCGGGGGGGGCGGGGGTGGGGGTGAACACACGCGTTACCCGCTTGGCACGTGCTCGGCACGCGACGGGGCGTGCTCCCCACGTGAACGCGCGGCGCGTGTCGCGTGAACGTGGGGGGCGTGTCGCGTGAACGTGGGGGGCGTGTCGCGTGAACGTGGGGGGCGTGTCGCGAGCGGTGAACGTGGCGGGTGGGGGAGGGGGGGAGCGGGGCATGCCCCCACCTGTGGAGCGCTGTTTTCCGTGGCTGTCCGCATGGAGGTCGACTTGTACGAAGTCGTCGAGGGGAGTCGGGATGTGGAATGGCTCCTACCTGATGTACACAGAGCAGTGAATGGCGAGGTCCGGCAACTTCATTGCGCCAAAGACACGTGTGACGCGTTGGAAACGAGGCAATGAGTATCCACGATCTTCCCTCTGAATTGATCGCGCCCCTCTCACCTCCATTGGCGCCACCGTGCACGGCATTCCCTGTCTGAGCGACGTCGTAACGCGACGTGGAGATGCTTCTCTTCTTTTCCGACTCCTGGGACCTCCTCTCCTCCGTCTTGAGGAGCTCGCGAGAGGACGCGATGCTCCCAACTTCACAAAACCACCGCAAAAGCATCGCCCAGATTAACACCAAATCGTCTGTGGGACCTTTTTTTTTTGCCAGTATCTCAAATGATGAAAAAACAAAAAGAGTTTTTACCCCTCGTGGTAATAAAAACAGGCGTTAAGATGTTCAAACACCAAATATATGCGTTTTGCGAAGCATCAAGTCTACATTAACGCACGTTTTATGCCTCTCGAAAGGCATCTGTTTTGCATTTGAACATCTTAAGGCCTGTTTCATCGCCACGAGTGGTAAAAACCTCTTCTTACTTTTCACCAAAGTGCATCCTTCACGCCGATGCGCCTCTCAAGCCACTGCCCAGCGGTGGCTACTCGAACGTCCGACCGTGGTCGTCACGCCAAACGGGGGCGGTCCTTCGGCACGTTCCAGGGCCCTCGGAGAGGCGCCCCTCACCTGACTGGGCGGTCGGCGAGGCTCTCCTGTTCGCCGGCGAAGACGAGGGAGTCTCGTACAATTTCACCTTGTCCCAGTCGGAGGACGACACCGGTGGGGTGAAGTCACCCTGAACCCAGCCATCCTGCGGGGCAAGCGTCCACAGCTCACGCCACAGCTCAGGAGGCGGGAGACACGTGCGGTGCGGTGGGGGGGGGGGGAGATGCACGCAGCCCCAACAACGTAGTCGACGCTTCGTGGACATTTAAACGGTGGTTCGTCCCACGGAAGTGGGACGGTCCTCGTCGCAGGAATGTGGAATTTTGATCGCTGACCGATTGAGAAAGAGCGCTGACCACGTGCGCGTGGAGACACCGAATGTGTATTGAAAGTGTACATTTTGAAACGGTTTAACGGGTATACAGCGCTTGCCAGCTGCTATAACTACAGAGTGGGATTGACGGTCGACGGACATGCATAATATCGTAGTGGACGCCGAGGGGATTTAACATCCATAATTAAGGGTTTTTTTCGGGGGGGGGGGGGATGGGGGTTAGATCGCGTAAATATATAATGTGTCGTTATTTTTATATTTACGCGATATCTAACCCAAACCCCACCCCCCCTCTATTATGGATGATATTGGGTCGCGAAAGCAGGATCAGAGCAAGGTGGTCACGGCTTGGACGGCCCTTCGCCCAGTAGCGAATCGACCATTACACACTCTCTCTCTCTCTCAGGTACAGCTCCACTCTCTCTCTCAGGTGCAGCTCCACTCTCTCTCTCTTCAGGTGCAGCTCCACTCTCTCTCTCAGGTGCAGCTCCACTCTCACTCAGGTGCAGCTCCACACTCTCTCTCAGGTGCAGCTCCACTCTCTCTCAGGTGCAGCACCAGTCTCTCTCTCTCTCTCTTCAGGTGCAGCTCCACTCTCTCTCTATCTTCAGGTGCAGCTCCATTCTCACTCAGGTGCAGCTCCACTCTCTCTCTCAGGTGCAGCTCCACTCTCTCAGGTGCAGATCCACTCTCTCTCTCAGGTGCAGCTCCACTCTCACTCAGGTACAGCTCCACTCTCTCTCTCAGGTGCAGCTCCACTCTCTCTCTCTCAGGTGCAGCTCCACTCTCTCTCTCAGGTGCAGCTCCACTCTCTCTCTCTCAGGTGCAGCTCCACTCTCTCTCTCAGGTGCAGCTCCACTCTCTCTCTCAGGTGCAGCTCCACTCTCTCTCTCAGGTGCAGCTCCACTCTCTCTCAGGTGCAGCTCCACTCTCTCTCAGGTGCAGCTCCACTCTCTCTCTCACCTTCTTGTAGAGGCCCCGCAGCTCGCGGTGCTGCCACAGCAGGCTCAGCACCTGCGCCGCCGCACGCACCACCTTCGGCGAGTGCCTGCGGAGACACAGATAACACGTGGGTGTGGCACGTGGGTGTGGCACGTGGGTGTGGCACGTGGGTGTGGCACGTGGGTGTGGCACGTGGGTGTGGCACGTGGGTGTGGCACGTGGGTGTGGCACGTGGGTGTGGCACGTGGGTGTGGCACGTGGGTGTGGCACGTGGGTGTGGCACGTGGGTGTGGCACGTGGGTGTGGCACGTGGGTGTGGCACGTGGGTGTGGCACGTGGGTGTGGCACGTGGGTGTGGCACGTGGGTGTGGCACGTGGGTGTGGCACGTGGGTGTGGCACGTGGGTGTGGCACGTGGGTGTGGCACGTGGGTGTGGCACGTGGGTGTGGCACGTGGGTGTGGCACGTGGGTGTGGCACGTGGGTGTGGCACGTGGGTGTGGCAAGGTCAGCACCAGAACATGTCTTTCGTTGTCCTAGCAACCAGCAGGAAGCATTACTGCGCGTTCACAGTCCTGTTGCGCGTGTGTTCATTGCACGTTCGTGTGTTCATGTGCACGTGTGTGTGTTCATTGCACGTTCGTGTGTTCATTTGCACGTGTGTTCATTGCACGTTCGTGTGTTCATTTGCACGTGTGTGTGTTCATTGCACGTGTGTTCATTGCACGTTCGTGTTCATTGCACGTTCGTGTGTTCATTGCACGTGTGTGTTCATTCCAACTGTGTTCATTGCACGTATGTTCATTGCACGTTCGTATTCATTGCACGTCCGTGTGTTCATTGCACGTTCGTATTCATTGCACGTTCGTGTGTTTATTGCAACTGTGTTCATTGCACGTATGTTCATTGCACGTATGTGTTCATTGCACGTTCGTGTGTTTATTGCAACTGTGTTCATTGCACGTATGTTCACTGCACGTGTCTGTGTTCATTGCACGTTCGTGTGTTCATTGCAACTGTGTTCATTGCACGTATGTTCATTGCACGTTCGTGTGTTTATTGCAACTGTGTTCATTGCACGTGTGTTCATTGCACGTTCGCGTTCATTGCACATTGCACGTTCGTCCACACGTGCGTTTCTACGTCATGCAAGTACGTATGTATGTTGAACTTCTTTCGCGCCGTACGTAGCCACCCGTGCGAATCGGAGGCACGCCACGTGCATGCACGCATGGCCAGCCTGAGTCAACAATGTCGGTCTGTCGCTAATTTGGAATGTAATTGTCGTCAGGGATCAAAATTCCATACAGCGTAATTCTCCAATCTCCATTTCACTCGTGGCTTTCGCCAATGAATCGAACGGAGATTGTTCCGCACCTGGAACGCGAGACGCAGGGCGATTGCGCGGTTCACAGGCGGAAGGGGAAGCAGCCGCGACCACCCCGAGCAGCTCCTTCGCCCCTCCTCAACCCAACGTGGCACGAATAACAAAAACAGTCAATGGGCCGTCCATAAATGACGTCACGCGAGTTTGGACGATTTTTGACCCCCCCCCCTCGTCACACAGCGTCACAAAAAGTCAGACCCCCCCCTCTCAAATATGACGTCACAAAGCTCTGCCACCCCCCCCCCCCCACCAAAACTATATTTCCATTTTGAAAATAAAACATGCTTCAAATCGCTTTAAACTATTGTCATTGTAGTGCGTAGTGCGTATTTAATGTGGCGCTGCACTCTGATGTTCTGGGAGAAAACATTTATTAAAAAGTCTATTTAATGAAGTAGAACGTGTTGTCGAAATTTAAAGTTGCGCATTTTGATGTGACGTCACATTTCTCAACCCCCCCCCCTCGTCACACATCGTCACAAATGTCTGACCCCTCCCCCCCCTAAAGGTGCGTGACGTCATTTATGGACGGCCCCCAACACATTCGCCAAGAACACAAAGGGTGGATTCCTCTGCTACGGAGAAGGACCATTGCCATAAACGTCACCGATTGTTCCTCTGTAGGGCAAGTGTTAGTGAGTGACGTGTTGAGTTTTTTGTTATGTGTGCACCGCTGCCAATGCAGCAGCGTAATTTTTTTGCGAGTTGCACTTCCAGTCAGAGGTTGATTCAACCCAGTATTTCTCTGTGGGTCAACATAATGAATTGAACGTCAACAATGATCACGGTGTGGAGAAATTCACACCTTATCTAGGAGCGTGCAAATTAATTGTGAAATGGGAACAAATTATTGGGGGAACGCATAAATGATTCCCCCCACCAGCCCACAACTAGATCTGAGGAGGAGATGGAGGGGGTCTGTACGTGTCTGTGGCTCTCTGTGCGTGTCTGTAGGTCTCTGTGCGTGTCTGTGGGTCTCTGTGCATGTCTGTGGGTCTCTCTGCGTGTCTGTGGGTCTCTGTGCGTGTATGTGGGTCTCTGTGCGTGTCTGTGGGTCCTACCGCGTGTCTGTGGGTCTCTGTGCATGTCTGTGGGTATCTGTGCATGTGTGGGTCTCTGTGCGTGTCTGTGGGTATCTGTGCATGTGTGTGGGTCTCTGTGCGTGTCTGTGGGTTCCACCGCATATCTGTGGCTCTCTCTGTGTGTCTGTGGGTCTCTGTGCGTGTATGTGGGTCTCTGTGCATGTCTGTGGGTATCTGTGCATGTGTGTGGGTCTCTGTGCGTGTCTGTGGGTCTCTGTGCATGTCTGTGGGTATCTGTGCATGTGTGTGGGTCTCTGTGTGTCTGTGGGTCTCTGTGCGTGTCTGTGGGTCTCTGTGCGTGTCTGTGGGTCTGTGCACGTGTATGGGTCTCTGTGCATGTCTATGGGTCTCAGAGCGTGTCTGTGGGTCTCTCTGCGTGTCTGTGGGTCTGTGCGTGTCTGTGGGTCTCAGAGCGTGCCTGTGGGTCTCTGTGCGTGTCTGTGGGTCCCAACGCGTATCTGTGGGTCTCAGAGCGTGTATGTGGGTCTCTGTGCGTGTCTGTGGGTCTCTGTGCATGTCTATGGGTCTCAGAGCGTGTCTGTGGGTCTCTCTGCGTGTATGTGGGTCTGTGCGTGTCTGTGGGTCTCAGAGCGTGTCTGTGGGTCTCTGTGCGTGTCTGTGGGTCTCTGTGCGTGTCTGTGGGTCTCTCTGTCAGTCTGGGTGATCTACATGTGAGTCAAATAAAAAAAAACACATGAATCCTTGATTCCTTCCGGAACGTTTTCAAAGGGTTCAAATTTCCACTCCCACCACGGCTTTCCAGGGGGTTTCCGGGGCAACATTTCCACCGACGATCAAAAGGGCACTGGGACTGTCGACTGGTTCCCCAAGCCGAGCGATTTGTCGAGGGCAGGAGCGCGGGGGGGGGTGGTGCCCGAGGCGAGGGCGCGAGGAGCACGTGCCTGCCGGCCTTGGCGCGGGTCACTCCGACGAGCCTCTCGATGCCTCCGGCGTCGCGCAGGGCCCTGGCGTTCTCCGCGTTCTTGTTCACCACCTCATGCAGGGTGCAGCACACGGCCGCCGTGCTCACGTCGCACGCCGAGACGTCGGTGCCGTCTCCCGGCACCGCCGTCACGGCCCCCGGGGGTGGCGGCAGTCGCTGCACCAGGTCTCGCAGCGCGTACTTGCCTGTCGCACGCGGGAGCACATAGACAAAGGCAAAGATCCCCCGCGTAGCCTCAACAGACTGTTGGGGCAAGTGCTGTTAGCGAGCACTAATGAAGGTCAGAACGGCACGCGAGGGGGCGGGTTAGCCAGCACCACGCCCAGCCGTCTTTGTCTCCCTAGTGGCGATGTTTTTACGCACCGCACCAGGTACTTATTCGAGGCTGAGTCGACCTAGGGGAGGCCCAGGACTGGTTCAGATGATCGTCACTGGTGTTGGCCGTGAGCGAGAATCGAACTCGGGTCGCCTTGTTCGTAGCGCAGCGTAGCGCTAACCGCTGCACCACCGCTCCACCCGTCATGCACTCGTGCACCAACACATGAGGGATGTTATCCCTCGTATGCCTACTCAATAGACAACAAGGCGCTGTGGCGACAAGACATGTGGACGTACGCGGCCTTGTTAAAGGCAAAACAAACATCACGTGAAGCTTCCCTGGCGGGTGAAGTGACAATTTTTCGATGACTCCATGTGGGGCAGTGGGCCACGATTTACCCGAACCGAGCTTGGGAGAAGTTGGGGAGAGGGGCTTGGAGGTGACCGATCGGAAGGGGAGATTCGTAGATTCGTGTCGGGAGTTTTAGACTCCACCCAGCCAAATTAGGAATATATTGGATGATCATGATGGCAGGAGCCACTGTGTGTGTATGTTGAACTTCTTTCGCACCGTACGTAGCTAACTGTGCTGATCGGAGGACAAAACAACTAAACACAAGCAGCGCTCGGGGCTATAAAAGGGCGTCAGAGAGAGAGCGGGGCTCACGACTAGAGAATGAAGATCAAGATCCTGAGCAGCGTGGCTAGAATAGAAGGACTCCTCGGAGCGCAGGGATCAGTTTCAACTAATTTTGCAAACGCCTACTGATTGCCACGCGTTGTTGTTTAGTAACACGAGTTACCTAATAAAAGTTGTGCCCAGTAGAGTCCCAATCGAGAGAGAGAGATAATCCATGTGGGTGGCTCAATCTTGGCCTGAATATCGCACGTTCGGTGGCCACTCACAACCGCGGCGACTTTGGCTCCAGTATCACCCACGGTAAATGGGACCGGAGCTGAGAGAGCGGCCGTCATGAACCAGTCTTAAAAAAAACCTCGAGGGCTTCCAGCTGCCTCGTTATGAATACCAATAATCACGCCACCCAGCACAACGCTCCAATAGCGACATTACTCCGTCTCTCTCAGCGCGTGGATTTACATGTATAGCGATTATTTGTTTGCTGGTGACTTTGTGTATTTCACATCGGAATCGCCTCCAGTGCTGTTGCTGCTGGCGGCAATACAAGTTGTTTAAAAGTCAAAAGTCTCTCACGCTCCAGCTGCGTGCCACATTTCGGTATCCCGAGTAAGCTCCCCTCGGTGCTGGCATTCGCGGCGGTGGGTGGGCATCTGAAGTTGCGTGTGCGAGCCCCGCCGCCCCCGCCGCCCCGTGACCCCCGTGACCCCGTGACCCCGTGACCATGGCCGAGCGGCGGCCACGCGCACCGATGAGCTCCTTGTTGCGCGCGTCCAGGGCCATGTTGCGCAGGGCGGTGGCCACGGCGCAGACGACGCGCTCGCTCTGCACGCGCAGCAGCTCCACCAGGATGGGCAGCCCCTTCTCCTTGCGCACCGCGGAGCGCACGTACGCAGCCCACTGCACGGACACGCAACACTTCGGAATCATCAGGATCTTAAATGTCTATTTGTACCGCGGGAATCCGATGAGCTGTCAAGTCTCTTTTTGCACAGATGTCCAGCAGTTTCACGAATGTCCATTTAAGTATCAATGATCCTGTATTATCAGTCAACGATGATTAACATGGTACTTGATAACTGTCCAGGGTCACGATGACGGTTATGTATTATAAACGATCCTACCACGACAACACGGGGGCGTCCACCCACCCACCGTGGTAGCTTCAACAGATCATTGGGGCGAGTGCTGTCAGAGAGCGCCTATGAAGGCCAGCATGACGGCCGCAAGTACACAAAGATCCCCCGTGTGGCCGTTATGGAAAGTGCTGTTAGCGAACATCTACAAAGGCCGGCACGGCACACAAGAGGGTCGGCCGCCTTCGTCTCCCCAGCGGTGATGCTTACACACCGGGTACTCATTTTCAGCTGAGTAGACCTAGGCTAGGCCCAGGACCGGTTGAGATAATCGTCACCGGTGTTGGCCGTGAGCGGGGAATCGAACTCGGGTTGCCGGGTTCGTAGCGTAGCGTAGCGCTAACCGCTACGTTACCGCTCCCCACACACATGCACACGGATCCGCACGAACGTACGGCCACGCGGTAGATGGTGCAACTGTGCTCTCCACCTTCCAGGATCCGGCTGCCAGGTTTTGGAGAGCGCCAGCCGCCCCCTCCAGCGTGTCGGGGTTGGAGCACTGTGCCAGCAGCGCCAGGTAGGGCTTCACCACGGACGGGTGCCACAGCAGCTCCACTCCGCGCGGTGGCTCGGCCCAGTCCGGCAGTGGCCCCGAGCCGTCCCACTGCGGCACCACAGCGGCCGCGTGCGTTCATGACTCCGTCGCTAGATCTGGCGGCTTTTTGAAGCTATGAACTGTAAACTATTTTTTTTATTTCATCAGATAAGGCCCACTGAGCTGTATATGTCTTTTCCATAAGCGACATGGCCACGAATGATAGCTCAACAAAGTGGCTTATCACGTGGAAAGTTATAGCAGCCAAATTTCTCTCAACGCATTTTTGTTAATGTGGAGGAATAAAACCGGAGGACCCAGAGAAAAATCCACACGACCACGGGGAGAACATGCAAACTCAAGGCCATCAGGGTCGGGATCGAACCCTCGACCTCCTGTATACCAGGTGAGGTAGTTAACATCTCGCCACCGTGGCACCTGAGTCTTGAGTTTGTTAAATCGATGAGCGCCAAATCTAGCGCCTTTCTGAGAAGTGGACATGATGCAGATTTGGGATTTTTGTACGAAAAATCCAGTATTATAAGTTAACACTGTTTATTAAGGTTCTTGATAACTGTCCAGTGTCATGATTACGGGTATAGTGTCATTAACGAGCCTCTATTAGCTGACTATGTTTAATACAGTTTGGTAAATGTTCTAGTGATATGGTTCCAAGGATGAATAAAGTATTTGTGAACAATGTGTAATACTTGGTAAAATTGTTTTAATTGACAACTTTAAGAGGTCTGTCTCGTGACATCTGGGAACTTGTTGAGGTTTGTTTGGCTACTTGCCAACCACCCACCACCAGACTATCTGCTTGAAAGCCAGGCACACAACATCAGGCAAGGAAATCTGGTAACCAGTCAATTCCACACGACTGACGTCTGCTTCTCTGGATACAGGTCTCCCTCGATGGCCTCTATGGGCTTACACTTTGTTATTAATTCGTATTTGTATGTTGAACTTCTTTTGCTCTGTACGTAGCCAGCCACGCTTAACAGAGGTGCGGGGAAAGGACAGCAAATTCACCGCAAAAAGCAGTTCGAAAGAAATCCGTTTTCAATCCAGATGATTTCAAAGTGCATATCTCCAGTGGCTTCTTAACATTGGTGGGAAGAGCGTTCCAGACGGCTGCACAAGCGCATCTGAAAGCGCCGCGCGATGCGGTGACCGCCGTCTTTATTCGATGGCGAACAAAAAGCCGCCGATTCTGCTGCTGCTGCTGCTGCTGCGAGTATAAATGGATATCTGAGCACGGATGAGACTTCCCCTCTCCTCTGCGCCTCACCTCGAGGTCCAAGTGCTTCCTCCGTGCACGCTTTCCCCAGCAGCTCCCGTTCTCGTCTCGCGACGAGGTCATCCCGGCCCCCGCGGCGTCGCCGCGCCAAGACGCCCGCAGCTGCTGCCCCTGCCGCGTCTCGGCCTCCAGGCGGTACGAGAGGTTCCGCATCACGCACACCGCGTTCTCAACCACCTGGGAAAACGCAGCAGCAGCAGCAGCGGTGGTATCAGCAGCAGACGCCATTCACCACTCATATAAACTAAACCTTAAACTTTTTATTTTATTTGACCCGGTAAGGCCCACTGAGCTATACAGACAGCTCTGTTTCAGAAGCGACCAGGCCACATGATAGCCCAACGAAGTTGGCTTATCGTAAGGACATTTATAGCAGCCAAATTACTCTCAATGCACATTTCTAAACGTGGAGGGAAAACCCCGAGGACCCAGAGAAAAATCCACGCGACCACGTGGAGAAGATGCAAATGATGCACTAATTGCATGTGACATCATACACTACACTTTAAGGATGAATCTCCACTCGTTCATTGTGCGTGACGTCAGCGGCACGGCTCGGCTTGTGCAGTGGAAAAGCCACCTGGTGCCGCCTGAGCTACGCCTGGCTGGATCGGCATGGCCCCAGGGTAACGAGGTGTAAGTGGCAGTGAGGTCACCACGTAATTGGTCCACTTCTCCAGGAGCAGGGCACTACGGAGGCACCTCTCTGCCCGTGCCGCTCGTGTGAACGCGCCTTGCCGTTGATGCTGCTGGAGCCCAGGGCCGCGCGCACCATGGACAGCAGCGACTCGAGGAGGCCGTCGCACTCGCGCATCCTCCGGCGCGCCTCCTCGCCCGCGGAGCTCACGTTGCTGCACGGAGGTGGTCATCGCACACGGGCAGCCGAGCGTTGCACACGTGGATGGCAGCAAACGACCCACCCACCCACGCAAAAAAAAAACACGCACACCGAGCAACGCGCACACACACCGCACCAGATACTCATTTGTGGCTGAGTCGACCTAGGGGAGGCCCATGATCGGTTATGATAATCGTCACCGGTGTTGGCCATGAGCAGGAATCGATACTCGGGTCGCCGGGTTCGTAGCGCAGCGCGCTAACCACTGCGCCACCGCCCCCCTTAACACCGAGCAACGCACACACACATCGCACACCGCACACACACACCGCACACACACACACATACACCGCACACACACACACACACCGCACACACACACACCGCACACACACACCGCACACACACCACACACCGCAGACACCGCACACACCGCACACACACACATACACCGCACACACACCGCACACACACCGCACACACACACCGCACACACACACACACACCGCACACACACACCGCACACACACCGCACACACACACACCGCACACACACATCGCACACCGCACACACACACACACACCGCACACACACACCACACACACACACACATACACCGCACACACACACCGCGCACACACACACCGCGCACACACACACCGCACACACACACCGCACACACACACATACACCGCACACACACACCGCACACACACACACACACACCGCACACACACACTGCACACACACACACACACCGCACACACACACACACACACCGCACACACCACACACACCACACGCACACACACATACACCGCACACACACCGCACACACACACACACCACACACACACACCGCACACACACACACACACCGCACACACACCGCACACACACACACACACCGCACACACACCGCACACACACACACACACACCGCACACACACACCGCACACACACCGCACACACACCGCACATACACACCGCACACACACCGCACACACACATACACTACACATCACACGGCCATGCTGTCGCCATGCCGTTGTTGAAATTCGTGCGATGTGACCGGCCTGACCACTCGAGATGGCCGCTCGCAGTTCACAGAAAACGATTCCAAAGTGGGAGGTGGCGGGCGCTCACCGCAGGCAGCCCGTGGTGTTGGCCAGGATTTGGCTGTCGATCCCCATCTCCTTGAGACTGTCCATGTCCTGGGGCACGAGCACCGTGTTAGTGAGCACCGTGAGCGCGTCCTGGATGATCGTCATCTTCAGGGAGTCGCAGGATGACAAGTTCCACAGCACCCCTGAACGGAGGGGCCAGAAATCCCTACGGTCAGCGCTTCGGCCACAGACGCATAGGATTTGTACCCACCGCTCTGTACCCAGCACAGGTGCCCGGGCTGCTGAGGTCTGTCTGCAGCAGATCCAGAAGTTTGCGTCGGCAAACTTGCAAGGCTGTCGCCTGCCCTAGTTGTTCCAGGATTCCTGTTTTTGAGGTGGCTCTCTGGGGAAATGTGGAGAGTCGTGTGCGCTCCTCCAACAGAGGAGGAGTAGCCAAGCTACGCGAAGCCTCTCCTGAAGCCCTCTCGTGGAAAGCAAACCTCAACATTGTCATTTAGCTCCCGAACCATCCTGCCATGCGCAACAATAGAATGGAAGTCTTCCCGGGGACTTTAAATAATCCCCCAATTTCGTCACGTGCGCAACAACGAACACTGCTCAGGACAATGCAATTTGCACGCAGCTCTCCCCGCTCTTCCGTTACCGCGAGCGACTGCTAGTCTCACGATACACCCGGGGAGGTGGCAGCCCGAGCCACGCATCGCACCGACAGTGACGGGAGACGCCCCCGACTGTCCGACGCCCCGAGCGCCGACCCACCGGTGGCGAGCTCGCGGGTCTCGGCGTCGGTGGCGCGGCGCAGGAGGCGGGCCAGGGCCGCGACGGCGGCGCAGCTACGTGCTGCCAGCTTGTTGTCGTCGTTGGCGCGGCCGAAGACCAGGTTGCGCAGGGCGCCGCAGGCGGCGCGGCGAACGTCGCGCGCGCGGTGGTCCAGCAGGTCCACCAGCAGCTGCACGCCGCCCAGACGGCGAACCTGCACGTCGGCGCAGACGCGCGGCCCTCCGCTCAGCCGCCGGGGGACGCCGCGCGAGGTCGCGGCGAACCCTGACGCTCGCTACGGCCGCCGCCGCCGCTGATCCTTTCACTCTCTCCTCTCTCTCCTTTCACTCTCTCCTCTCTCTCCTTTCACTCTCTCCTCTATCTCTCTCTCGGCTTTATGTGCCCCCCCCCCCTGTTTAAATGAAAGATTTCACGCTCTGCTCTCCTCCTTCTTACTCCTTCCCTCTCTCTCTACCCCCCCTCTCTCCCTACTCTATGTCTATGTTCTCCCTGTTTTCTATGTAATTTTTAAAAACATTCAACTACGACAAGTGATGCATCTGCACCCAGCCCTCCGCACAGCCCTACGGCCTCTGACGGTAGCTCACAATCTGCATGCAGAGCTCTCCGTCTTCTGCCACCGAGCACACTCTCTCCTCTCTCTCTCTCCTCTCTCTCTCTCTTCTCTCTCTCTCTCTCCTCTCTCTCTCATCTCTCTCTCTCATCTCTCTCTCATCTCTCTCTCCTCTCTCTCTCTCCTCTCTCTCTCTCTCTCCTCTCTCTCTCTCTCCTCTCTCTCATCTCTCTCTCTCTCTCATCTCTCTCTCATCTCTCTCTCCTCTCTCTCTCATCTCTCTCTCCTCTCTCTCTCTCCTCTCTCCTCTCTCTCATCTCTCTTTGCGTCCATCTGGAACGTGACGGGGCCCCGGCGGGGCGCCGCTCGTCTGCAGAGGCTCGCAGTTCGAATCCGGCGGGCTGCTCTGGTTAATGCCAGCGGGGGGTTGACGTCGTTAAAACAATTTGCACCGTCGGCTTCACGGTGGGTGCCCGTGAATCGTGTGACGCCACTTGAAGAGGAGCAGGCCATTGCGTGCTGGCTGGCGTCGTGGTCTCAATTTGGCAAATTTGAAAAATGACTCGCAAATTACTCACTGAAGACACACATAGCAATAGCTCAGCGGGGCACTCCTAAACAAAAGTCCTGAGGCTCAGTGAGAGGTTCCTTGGGAAACAAGCATAATAAAAACAATATAGTAATAGTGATCGCACTGTTATTGCAAAGTCAACACCTACTGCATACCATCAGCTCCACCACATACAATATCACGGTCTCCACCGAACACAGGTTCGACAGCAACACCACCCTCACCATCATACGCCAAAGCCAGCACACACCACGACAACCTAACACATATTATACACCACGCCTCTCACTAACCAAGGCACTCCATTGACTACAGTAGAAAATAATTATATATTTTTTTATTCAAATCATTATCCAGAATCATGGCAATGCATCGGCTAGGACAATGTGAGTGAGTGAGTGTCGCTCACGGCCAACACAAGTGACAATTATTTGAACCGGTCCTGGGACTCCCCTAGGTCAACTCAGACTCAAATGAATACCTGGTGCGGTGTGTAGTATACATCGCCACTGGGGAGACAAAGGCGGTCGGGCGTGGTGCTGGCCACCCATCCCCTTGTGTGCTGTGCCAGGCTTCACAGGCGTTCGCTAACAGCACTTGCCCCAACAGTCTGGTAAGGCTACACTGGGGATCTTTGTCTTGTCGCGCCAGGCCTCCTCACCTCCGCCTTGATGCCGTCGTCCCCGTAGCACACGTGCTGCAGGTACGCGGCGGCGTTGGTCTGCACGGAGGGGAACTCGTGCTGCAGCATCTGGATGACCTCCGGCAGGTCAGGGTCTCTCCACGCCGTCTCCCTGCACTCGCAAACCCCGCACCCCGTAACGGAGTCAGCGTCCTGGTGGCAGCTCCCCCCGTCTCCCGGTGTCCGCTTAGAGCAAATCCCAGGCGGGGCAGCTGAGGCAGCACCTCTCCCCTACAGCAGCAGATACTGCTCATGGAACCTCTGTAGGATTCATTGCTAGAGCGCCAGATATTGCCACTCCATCCCCTCTGTTCTTGCGAATGAGGCCGGCATGAGCCTCCCTATGGCTGTCATGCAGATAGTGATCAGGAGCTGATCACCGTCTCTACCTCCGATTAGAACGGTTGGCTACGTGCGGTGCAAAAGAAATTCAACATATCTGCATTGGTGCCATTGAGTTAAGTCGCAGTGCTGCTGAATGGATCTCAGCGGCAACAATCCATCGCTACAAAGCCTGCAGTAGCTAGACTATGAATTTGATTTGAAGCTTTCGTGACTGCAGGAATTACTCTTTGGTTCTTTTGGTAAAGTCACGTAGAAAGAAAATAAATTAAATAATATAATACGACGTTTCGATTGCAACACAAGCAGCCGTCATCAAGTAGAGCTAAATATGAGAAAGAGACAAAACACAGACACGGAGACATACACAGACAGACACGCAAGCAGAGAGAGAGACAACACAGAGACACACAGAGAGAGACACACAGGGAGAGACACACAGCATAGACACACAGAGAGAGACAACACAGAGACACACAGAGAGAGACACACAACATAGACACACAGACACACAAGCAGAGAGAGACACACAGAGAGAGACACACAACATAGACACACAGACAGACACACAAGCAGACAGAGACAACACAGAGACACACAGAGAGACACACACCATAGACACGCTAATTTCTCTGCTACAGCAGCTGCCTCAGCAGACCCACCTCTCTCTCTGCCCCCCCCCCCCCTCTCTATTTAAGGCCTCAACACAGAGGCATTGGGTCTCTGTGTGTCTATGTTGTGTGTCTCTCTCTGTGTGTCTCTGTGTTGTCTCTCTCTGTGTGTCTATGCTGTGTGTCTCTCTGTGTGTGTCTCTGTGTTGTCTCTCTCTGCTTGTGTGTCTGTCTGTGTGTCTCTGTGTCTGTGTTTTGTCTCTCTCTCAAATTTAGTTCTACCTGATGACGGTTGCTTGTGTTGCAATCGAAACATCGTATTCTATTATTTATTTTATTTTATTTCTACGTGACTTTACCGAAAGAACCAAAGAGTGAAACTATGAATATATATGCAACTAAATACAAATATTAAAAAATGTTACTAGTTGGTGTTTCAACATCTTAACACCTTTTGATTTAAAGCTTTCGTGACTGCAGAGATTCATATTCTTGGTTCTTTCGGTAAAGTCACGTAGAAGGGAAACAATAAAATAAAAATTTGTATTGTTTTATATTTTTATTATTTTATTGTTTCCCTTCTACGTGACTTTACCGAAAGAACCAAGAATATCTTAACACCTGTTTTATCGCCAGGAAGGGTAACACCTATTCTTATTTTTTCATACGAATATTTAAACTTAATTCCGCACACACTTGTCAATCTCTCTTTGGCATGTATGTTAACGATCCTGCTCCGATACTTCCTGCGTGTAAGAATTCAAACAAGTGTTGCATCGGCAGCTCACTCTTAGCCAAGACCTCGCCGCATCCAACGTTGAGCCTCCTCCCGTTGTACGCGGTTTATTCTTCGTAGAACTGGGGTTGTGAGATAGCGCTTGGGATAAATCTAGAAAGCTCTCCGGGGATCCCTCTATCCATTGTTATTAGATCACGCGAAGTAAAGTTGACACGTCATTATCTGCGCGCTTTTCATTGACTCAATTCCGCTCGGCGCATCAAGCCAGAAAGCGGTCCGTACGCGAGCGGCGGAGGGCCCAGCTTCGTCGCGTTCGATTTGCCCCCACTCCGAGACGGGCCCGCGGCACGGCGAGGGGGAGGCACCGTCGAGGAGGGTCCTCACCTGGGGGTGCCGCTCTCTCTCTCGCACGGCACGAACGCCGTCCCCGCCCGAGCGTAAATCGCGTCCAGCTGGGCGGGAGGCCCGGCCGGGGGCCACCGGAAGGCGTCGTCCCCGTCGCCCGCTCGATCTTCGGGGTCGGCGTACTCCGTCCGGAACGCCGCCTCGTCGTGGCCGCCCCGGCCCAGCGACGCGCCGTAGGGCCCGTCGGAGACCGCGTACGCCCTCCTCGCGTCCGCGACGGGGGAGCCCTGGCGACTGCCGCCGCCGCCGCCGCCGGACTCCGCGCGTCGGCTCGCGAAACCCGAGGGGGTGTCGGGCCGCGGGGGCGGCCTCGCGCCGCCGTGTGCTGGGGGGCCGTAGGGATCGGCGGGGCGCGCCGCGTATTGCTGGCGCGACGAGTAGACGTCCCCCGGCGTCCCGTAGGCCGGCGCGTCCGTGGTGTAGCCGCGTGCCTGGTAGAGCGGGTGTGCCGGCGGGCTGGCCTGCCGGCTCCCCGGCTGCTTGCATGGAACTGGCGAGCGAAAAGAGAGGGCGACGGTCCGGTGGTGGCGGTGGCGCCGGAGCTGCTCGCTGCTCGGTGAGGCTCGACTGCAAGGGAGTCGAGCGCCGTGCAATCTACTGCGAGGTTTCCGTGGGGTGTGTAAATAATGTTAAGTCAAAACCATATGATCCAAATTACAGTATATTATTGCACGCACCGTGGTTTTTAAGTGTTTCTCTACTTCAATGAGCACCTACCGTGCCTCTAGCCTGTGGCAGCCTTGAATTATAGGTGGGCAAAAGGACAACTGCTACTGACCTCCAACAAAGTGGGAATGTTAATTCTGGAGAAGTCAACCACCAACAGGAATGTAAACACTAAAGTTTAGATTTAATACGCATTTAAACACAACAGTGTCTTACAGATTACACATTCTACAAAGGATATATATATCATAATCTAACAACATTCAAATCTTGTTTGTTTACCAAGCATACAAATATTACTGGGAGCCGCTGTGAGCGGTCAACTTTAAACGATAGTCATTCGAATCCCGGTGGGAGGTTAATGCCACTAAATCCACCATCCCTCAGGGGGTCCATAAAATGAGTACAATTTTATGAGGCGTCAGCAGTGGCCGTCCTGTTCGAGAGACAGGCCCCCACCACCACAACAACAACAAGGATTGAGGATTTGCACCATTCTGCCAATGGAGCCGTTGGCTTGCGCCGGCAGACAACCGGTCTCCACCTGAAGGGCGCAATGCACGCGGTGCGAATGAGCCAATCGCCGGAGGGGTGAGGTCGCCCTCACTCGCGCTGCTTGGGTATCCGGGGCTGCCGGGCGGCGAGGACGCTGGCATGGGGCTGGCGTAACCATGGGTGCCTCCGCCGTCCATCAGCTGCTGCTGCTGATGATGATAATGCTGCTGCTGATGATGATGCTGCTGCTGATGATGATGATGCTGTTGCTGTGGCGCCGGTGGTGTGGGAAGGTCTGCCCTGCACGCTGTTGCGTCTCCCCAGCCATCGAAGCTTCCTTGCCCATCTGTAAGAAAATCCCCGATACCAGCCACAATCACGCCTTGCTACGAGGCACCGTGGCTAGTGTTCGGGCGAGGTTCAGGGTTAGTGGCCGCGTTAAGGTTGGAGCTAGAGATTGGGATGTCGTTGGTGCGGTGCGATGGCTATAGCTGCATGGGAGACACCGCTATCCATCCTTTTATAGCCAAAACAGATGAGGCTCAACCCCAGCTCCTGCCCATACAGCAAGGAAATAATAACATGAACAATGTTGACGACTTTTTGTGTATGCAGCCTTAGAGGGTCTGAATTAAACGTGCAGACATTTCACGCAATTGGAGGGCTGTGGTTCCACGGCCTCGAAGCAACTCTGCAAGCGCCGCGACTCCCCCCTGGCCCCCATACTAAGCACACACACGCAGAGCACACATGGAGTGTCCTGGCAGGGGATTGCCTGGCAGAACGGGTTTTAATCCAAAGGGTCCCTAGGAGGAAAGTCCCACGGTTTCCCGCTGCCAGGAGATTGACCGACCCTCGCAGGACAGGTCACATTGCAGTGCCCCTGAGTTGGCTTAAAATTGTATGGGCGCAAGAAGGTTCACTGGGCCAGCCGCAATGAGACGTTCACGACATCGGGAGGGGCTGGAGTGGATTATTAAGCGAGAAGAGCAGACCATGAGGTCAAGGGATCGCAGCGCCACGACCCGCCCCGACCCCCATACCGAATACACACTCGCAGGGTGTGTATTCGCCAGCCGGGCGACATTCCGGATTGACAAGGGTGAGTAATCAATAAACGGGTTGTAATCACAGGTAGGCGCACGATTGGCCGTACGGTACAACGAGACCCCGGGTTTTTGAAGCGAGGGTGATAAAAGGGGAGCCTGAGGCGATGCAAAGGAGAACTCTTCTTCAACACCTTGATCGCCAAGACCCCCCTCCCCGCTGCCCACCTGCCTTCTCGAGCCACTTGCAGCATCCGTGTGATGCCAGCGAGTGCCGCTACGAGGCAGTGATAGCAAAGTTCTTTCGTCCTCTTCCCTCCGACTCTCACAGCGTCCATGCGACGCCGTGATTAGAGTTGCGAGGTGCGTGGTAGGGCGTTTGAGTATCTGGGGACGGGGGCAACAGTAGGCCAGGCTCTTCTCGCAAAATATTCCCTCTGGGTAGTGTGCGGTTTGCGCCGTGGATAAAAGTTAGCACAGAGCATAGGTGTGGTGTCTGTGATTTCTGTGTGCAGCGACTGCGTGGGGGAACGCGCGGCGAGAGTGAACGCGGAGCCACAGCACGTGCGCACGTTCAGAGATAAACGGCCGCAGGTGTGAGCGCGTTCGCACCCCCTGTGTTAACGATAGCTGCGGTGTGCACGGGTGTGTGGGTTAACTCCGTGTGGCTGTGAGCCAGCAGCACGAGCATGTCCCTCAGAGAGGGCGCTAGCGCGGGGGGCCCTGATCACTCGGTCGGTGGGGGCCCGGCGGGAGCCGACCGACGCGGTGGAGGAGGGAGCAGAACGGGCGGACGTCGCGTCCCACCTGCCTAGCGAGGGCAATGGGGTGGACGTCAGGCCCCACAGGGCCACTCCGCTACAGGTTGCATGCATTTCCCACGATTGACACACGCTACATTTACACGGGCATCTTGTTATTATTAATTGACCCATCCGAGGCATTTGCAGTGCTTAACTCTTTGGCTCGCGAGCAGGAATGCCGAGGAGCGAGACTCTTATTTCATTTGTTCGCCCGCAGCACTGCGTCGACCGCAAAACGTTGAGCCCCTGACCTTGGGGCGCGCACCGAAAGCGGCGCTCTCCTCCGGTGCCGACTCGGCACACACCACGGGGGGGGGGGGGGGGGGTGCGTGGAGGGGGAGACGACGCCTCCTCACCTGCGAGCTGCCCCAGGAACTGGGCCCCGCGCCGCTCGTACAGGCAGTGAGACGCTCGCCACGTCAGCGGGGAGCCCCGAGTGTCCCCCGGCTCGTCGTCGTCGTCGTACGCGGCTCCCCCCGGCTGCAGGCTGCCCCTGCGCCCGCTCGGCCACGCGTGTGAGAACGCCTCCCCGCGGCCGTGGCGGCTCGTGCCGACCCGCCCGTTCTCCGCCTCCCGGCTCATCGACCCGCCGAGCGCGACCTCCTGATGGCTCAGCCTCCTGCCGGACGAGCGGGGGGCGTCGTGCGGGGAGCGGTGCGCCGCGCTCTGTCGATCGTCCCGCTGCGCACACGCGTCCGCGTAGCCGCCCTGGCCGTACAGGCTGACGCTGTGTCGGCTGCCGCTCCAAGCTCGGTTGAGCGTGGAGCAGCGCCGCTCCGACTGGCCGTCCACGTACGCGCCGAGGGCGGGCCGCACGCGTGCCACGGGGTCGTCGTAAGGTCCCTCCGTCTGCTGGCTGTAACGTCGTCCGCTCGATTGCCACTGCCGCTCCGGGCCCGCCGGCGGACTTTCTTCCCCGCCGTGGCCGTAGCCGTCGCCCCTGGCCACCCTCGCGAGCTGCTCGCTCGGCGAGGGCGGGTACGGCGGGTACGGCGAGCTGCCCGCGGGCTCGGCGAACGCCTCTGCGGACTCGTGGCCATATCGGTCCCTGGGCAGCCACCTGTCAGGAGTCGTTTGCCGCTCCCGGCTCTGCTCGCCCGCATCATTAAAGGGACTCTGCTCCCCGTAGCCCAGGTGGTCGGCAGTGCATTGCAGAGACAGTGAGTCACTCTGACAGCTCCGCTCTGCACGCACGCCACGCCAATCGCTCCCCAGGTGGCCATACCCCTTGCCGGGCTCCGCTCCGTAGCCCTGGTCCAGACTGTACCGCTCCCTGCCGTCGGGCGGGCGGTGGCGGGTGGACGAGTCGGCATAGGAGCTGCGGAGGGGGCTCACGGATGCGACGTCCGAGTAGAACGCAGCGCCCGCTCGCGACGCTTCTGGAGGGGTGGCCGGGCGGGAGACGAATCCTCGCGAGCTGTCCTTGTCGTAGGAGGAGCTCGCCCGCCGCGGTGACGCCGCCCAGCCGTACGCCCCGGGCAGCTCGGGCAGAGCGGCGGAGCTTTTGCTGTTCTTAAAAGGCGACGTCTGCGCGCCGGCGGCTGGGCCGTCCCCGTAGGTGCAGTCGCTCTCTCGCGACGGAACTTCGCCACCAGGGAGGCTCACCCGCTTGCCGAGCAGAGACTCCCTGCAGAGGTACTTGCCGGTGAGGCCGAAGATCGACTCCTCCTTCCCCAGGCTGCTTCTCCTGGTTACGGCAAACCTCATTCCGGCGAGGCTGTTCTCCGGATTCTCCGGCGGCCGCTGTTGAGGCGCCGAGTCGGCGATGGCGCCCGGTGACGAGCGGGTCGCGGGGCCGTCGGCGGAGAAGGGAGGGACTCTGGCCCCCGGGGGCGACGCGTGGGTTGCCCGGCGGGAAGAGGGCGAGCAGAAGGCGCTGGAGCGTGACGCTGGGAAAGGGCGCGGTGGCGGCGGCGGCGGCGGCGACGGCTCCGTGGATTCGAGGTCATTCGGTCGCCCCACCGCATTGTCTGATGTTGCCTGCGAATGGGCGGAGGAGAGGTGCAGGGTCGCGTTGTCCGGCGGACTTGTGTGCGTGCGCTGCTGCACAAAGCTTCCTGCGTGGCCGTTTGTGTTGAAAATAAAAACTGGCGAAAACTACGGACCGTAATTATGTTGCTTGCTTCCGACGCGCGCGTGCGAAAAATGTCCTCCCGCGCACAAACAAGCACTTGGCCAGAGCTGATCTCCACTGGCACCTCCTAGTCAATGGTGGAAAATCTACATTCCCATTACAAGGATTGGTCTCTCGTCGAACAGCCATTGTCGACTTCTCACAAAGTGGTAGTAACTTTGTCCACCCCCAGAGGATTGATACACTGAGTCGACCCCTGGGATTTCAATATAAAATCTTAAACGGTCACCTTAATTTTACATTATGACTGAATAGCGCATTGTGCTATATCTCCCTCGCACACTCATCGCACCTCCGATTAGTTGGCTATGTACGGTGCGAAATAAGTTCAACATACGTACATATAATTCTTGAGCATGGCTGGTTAAGCGACAGGACCCATTTCAGTTGTGCGTACAACTCTGGGCTAACATACTCTTTGCTTCTTTCGTTGAAGTCACGTAGGTATAAAATAAAATAAATCACGACGTTTCGGGCACAACACAAGCGTCCGTCATCAGGTGGTAAAGGTGGGCTAACAGTGACGTCCCAAACAAACACCCGATATTGAACCCGGCCCTGAACCAGCCAGTGCCGACTTTCCCCAAACACACAAACGCAGCACGCGACTCAATCGAATCGGCACGGACCCATGCCAGATCTGCTCAGCGCGCTCACAAGATGAAAAATCACGGGAAAGTCTGCGGAGCCCCTGGCCAAGCCGCGGAGCGGACCGTGCACCACTTGCCCACTTTGTGCATTCCAATGGAGGAAAATCAGCAGCAGCAGCGAATCGCTCAGCCCCACCTCGGTCCGTCGCGCGGCTTTGCACGTATGTATGTTGAACCTTCTTTCGCATCGTACGTAGCCACACTCAGCCGCGCGCGATGGTTCGCGAGCGGGCCGCGCGTGTTCCACGGAGGCTGTTGCCGTCCACTCACCCGGCTGTGCCTCCAGCCGCCGGGGAGGTGCCATGCCCCCGGTGGAACGGCGCCTCCGCTCACGCCTCCCTTGCGGCCGCAGAAGCCTCCGACGTCGGCAGTCGCCTCGGCGCCACCGCCGCCGCCGTTGTTGTTACCGTAGCGGCCGCTCGTTCCGTCGTCACCGCCGGTGGCAGCGTCGCCCCGGTCCCCCACTGTCCCGGAGTCCCGGGAGCCGCACCGTGCAAGCGAAAAATCGGCCGCGTCTGGACAGGCGCCGCCGCCGCTGGTGAGCGAGCGGGTAACGGCGGGGCCCCTGGATGTCCCCGAACCCCTGTCGCTGGCTCCCGTCTCGGCGAACGAGGCGGCGCGCGGGGAACCGTAGGGGCGGCCCGCGGGCGCGGCTGAGGCCCCCATGCAGTGGTGCGCAGACACGAGTTGCCGTTACGTGAGCCGTGGAAAGTGGCTTGAACTACCACAAGGCAATAACAATAAAACTCTGCAAGAAATAAAAATAAAAATGCAATCTGCTCACCTGTCGACCGCCAGTGGAAAGCCTCTTCATTGGAACTGCGAATACAAAGATTTCGTGTTCACAGCTGTTTTGACCCATTCTCATTCATTAAAAAAAAAACATTCATTTCCTGCTGCAGGGCATTTTGCATGACATTACCGAGGTTTGTTTATCTAGAAATAAAACAAAACAACGGACGGTGCCAACATGCGCCAGCCACGACATCAACGCGCGGCCGCCAAACCGCCACCAGCATCCACGAACAACATTGGCTCGAGTGCAGGGCCCCATCTCGCAGCACACTCAGAATGATTCACCAGCTCGGTACATTTGAGTTACCGCGAGAGCAGAGAGAGAGAGAGAAAGCGAGAGCCGGTTTACGTGATGCCAACAGAGCGAAGTGGCGTGGGGCGTGCATGTGCCTGGCAGGCATTCAGGCGGAGTCGCCCGCCGCGGGAGCTTTGCTCGCGACCAGGGATCGAGGGCCGCTTGTGTCCCTTGTCATTGCCATTCACAGTGGTGGGAGGGAACTTTGGTGGTACTGATTTATTGACAGGCACAATACAAGTGAATCGTGCCATAACGTTTTCGAATACGGTGAATGGTGTGATAACCTTGTTTAATAATGGTAAATTGTAACTTACTTTTTATTGGTCGTATAAAGAAGTCTGTTCCACTAAACCTTTGATACCTCAAGTGGTATAAATGTTTGCTATGGCCCGCTAACTATTAACAATTGTGGTGCCCTATGAAAACCTATTAATTGGATTTATAATTAAATCTATACGTACAGTACTGTATATGCATTTGTTTACTGGACAACCAGCAGTTGTTATCTCTCTGATCCATCAGCTAAATGAAAACATAAAATAAATCAAACATGTATAGTTTATGTTTCTGCCCTCTTAATTTACTGCCACAAAATGCTTAACCAATAAAGCTGGCCCTGGCTGCTGCCTCTGTCTCAATGTCGCCCCCTAAATTATGCAGCCCAAAGGAGATTCGCGGTTCAAATCCAGAAGGCCGCCCTGGATATCCCTTCGGGCGTATTAACCGTGAAACACGTGCCGTCCGCTTCACTGGACATCAATGATCCCCTGATGTCGTTCAAAGAATAGCAGGCCATTGTGTGCTGGCATCACGATAAAAAAGTGTCAAATTTTGAAATAGTACAATTTTACAAATTTTTGGGAAACACGTAGCAAAAACTTGGCGGAACAAAGGCAAACGAGTTGAGACTCGCTGAGGCTATCCTGTGAGGCAGAACATCCTGGTCAGGGTTTCCCGTGGCACTGCCCTCGCTGTCTATCCATGGATGTAATGAGGGCGCATGCTGCATGCACGGCGTTGTTGTTGTTGTTGCAGGACGCAGGCCGGAGCATAAACAAAAACCACGAGTTACCACAGCCTCCATCGCAACAGAAATCTGGCAAGTTGCAGTGTTTGTAGAAGGAAGGGAGGAAGGAGGGGAGGCAGCCGTGAACATGGTTTAAGAATAAAGCATCATGATGTTAAGCGCTGTGTAAGGATCAACTACACTGTGGTAATTTACGAGAAGCCTGTCTATCGCCTCTCGATCAAAACAAAACGTATTTTTATCATCCTGCGCCAATAACATAAGATATACATCGTGCGCATTTCACAGACTTCAATACGTTTACATATGAGCAACACTGCAGTAACACAAGATTGTGGAATTATCGTGCGCGTAGCACTCCCCAACTGCACGACTGCGAGGTAGCCTCCACGTACATGATAGGAGAGCGATTGGGTGAATGAACAGAAATGTTTGAGATTTTTCTCCACGTATCCCAGGCTCTTCGTAACGGGGAGACACACTCACTGAATAACAGGTGAAACGTGCCAATGCAGGACGCTCCAGTAAAGAGTCTTGCTGCCGAAAGCCAGGAGTGCAGACACACTTTAAAATCTGGGGTTTGTCCTACTCGTGTGCGTGTGTCAGATGACTGTGTGGATGTGTGCGTGTGGCAGTACAGCTGTTAGCGATCCGAGTTACGATTCCCGCTCACGGCCAACACATTTATCTGAACCGGTCTGGGGCGTCCCGTAGGTCAACTCAGCCTCAAATGAGAACCCGGTGCGGCGGTGTGTAAACATCGCCACTTGGGAGACAAAGGCGGCCGGGCGTGGTGGGAGGGTAGTAGTGGTGGCGGGGTAGTGGTGGTGGGAGGGTAGTAGTGGTGGTGGTGGGGTAGTGGTGGCGGGGGGTAGTGGTGGTGGTGGGGGGGGTAGTGGTGGCGGGGGGTAGTGGGGGTAGTGGTGGTGGGTAGTGGTGGCGGGGTAGTGGTAGTAGTGGTGGCGGGGTAGTGGTGGTGGGGTGGTGGTGGGGGGGTAGTGGTGGTGGTGGGGGGGGGGGGTAGTGGTGGTGGTGGGGGGGGTAGTGGTGGTGGTGGGGGGGGGGTAGTGGTGGCGGGGTAGTGGTGGTGGTGGGGGGGGTAGTGGTGGCGGGGGGTAGTGGGGGTAGTGGTGGTGGGTAGTGGTGGCGGGGTAGTGGTAGTAGTGGTGGCGGGGTAGTGGTGGCGGGGTAGTGGTGGGGTGGTGGTGGTGGGGGGTAGTGGTGGTGGTGGGGTGGTGGTGGTGGTGGGGGGGTAGTGGTGGTGGTGGGGGGGGGGGTAGTGGTGGTGGTGGTGGGGTGGTGGTGGTGGGGGGTAGTGGTGGGGGGTAGTGGTGGTGGTGGGGGGGTGGTGTCGGAGTCGCCATCACCTGACGCTGCTCGCGCTGCCGGCCTCCGACCCGAGACGGCAGCGCTGGAGCTGCGTGGCCACGCTGTGGTGCTCCGCCTCCAGCTCACGCGTCAGCCGCTCGAACTGCAGCTCCTGCGCGCAAAGACAAAGGGTCGGGACCCGTTGTATAGCCCTCAGCAGGCTGTTGGGGCAAGTGCTGCTTAGCAAGTGGCAACCGATGAAGGCCGGCACCGTGACACACGTGGGGGGGGGGGGTGGGTGGCCGGTCGCCACGCCCGGCCGCCTTTGTCTCCCTCGTGGCGATGTTTACTACACACCGCACCAGGTGCTCATTTGAGGAATTAATCGACCTGGGGGGAAGCGCAGGACCCGTTCAGATAATCGTCACTGGTGTTGGCCGTGAGCGGGAATCGAACTCGGCTGGCTGGCTTCGTAGCGCACGCACAGAAGACACAAAGACAAAGATGCCCCGTGTAGCCTACACACACCGTTGGGGACACGTGCTGTTAGCGAGCAGCTACGAAGGCCGGAACGGCACACGATGGGTGGTGCAGTCCTGCAGAATGTATTTGAGCTTTAAATGAAAGGTGCAGGCCAGGGTCGGATACCGCGTGCCACTGATCAGCGATATCAGGAATCGATACGGACGGGTCCCGTCGTGCAGTGGATGCCCTGCTATGGTTACCGCTGCCCATCAATAGCAAAGAGAGCAGCAACAACAGCCTCAGTTCAATTTTGATTTTTTATTGTTTTATATTTTTATTATTTTATTGTTTCCCTTCTTACGTGACTTTACCGAATGACGGTGATGTCACCACAGCGATTGTGCTCAGCTTGACCCTGCTAACTTGAACGGATATTCCAAGCAAATCGTTTTCTAAATATTTTTTGTTACATTTGATGTCATATTTTATTTAAATATCGGGCGGCAGCAAAAGGCCCGCATGTCACTTCAATCACAGTAGCGTTGGCGAGTGCGACGCATGCGTCAACAGCCACGCCCGGCTTCCTCCTGCAGCACACCGCTCAGAATTAGAATCTTGACTTAGAGGAATTCCGATGAGCTATAAAGCTCTTTTTTCACAGACGTCCAGAAAGGGGCGGGTCAGTACAAAAACAATATGATAGGGAGGGCAAAATAGGAAAAAGGGTAAGCAAGGCGCTAAATAATAATACTTATGGATAATTAAACACATTGATTATATAAGTTAAATTTGTCAAGCTTGGGCAAGGCCGCAAAAAACAACAAAACAGTCCCAAGACCACACCAAGATAACACCACATAGCAGGAGTAATCCCTCAATAAAATGGGCACATTAACATTAAATATACAACGATCCGTCATCTGCACACAGCAATTGAATCTCAAACCGAGTGTTGTATATTCATGGCCAGCCTGAAACAAAAACAAGTCATGTTATGACCCCCATATTATATATGTAAAAAAATTTATTGCTGAGCAAACTTAGGCCGCATTTGGATTCTATTTTTTAAAAAATTGTGGTGACGTGCTTAAACGCGTGCAGCACGGAATAAATTAATTTAGAAACAGAGAAAATAGGAGCGTTGTAATTTTCTTGTTTGGAGGTTGTGGCTACTGACCGCCTCTCCGTCGGAGCGCGGTGATGGATCACTGTTTTCCCTTGGCCTGTCGGCCCCGTGAAATGCTGCCTTGCGAAGGCACGGGGTTCAGCATGAGAGGGCAAGTACCAACGCACCGCCAGCCAGAATCGAAATCTTGATTTATACTGGAGGAATCCGATGAGCTGTAAAGCTCTTTTTTCGTCTTCACAGATGTCCAGTAGGGGCACGGGGTCAGAGCGTTACCACGACAAACAATACACAAACAAGATAGGAGTGCAAAGTATAGGAAAGGCAAACAAATTACTCACAAAAAATATTAAAATATAACTCAACAATGTTTTATTATACCAGGTAAAGCCCTTTGAGCTATTGTCTTCTTTTTCAGAAGCGACCTGGCCACAAATGATTGCCCAACGAAGTGGCTTATCACGTGGAAGTGTGCAGCAACACACTGGATGCAGAACACTTCCCATGGCGCCCAGAGGAGGTGACGGCGATGAAGCTCCCTGATTATTGGCACAGTGGTGCGTTGGTCTAAGTTCCTGAATGATGAATACGAGGCGCTCGATATAATCTCAGTCGTGGTCTGACTCAGCCCATAATCCCACTGGGGTTGAATACAATGAATAACCATTTTGTTTGTGGTTCGCTGGTCGCCTGGCCATGCTCATCTCGAAGTTCCAACATTGTTCCGGACTACCAGCAGAGATGAACAGCACCTAAAGCTTGATTCAGCACAGGAACACTTTGACTGTTCTTGTTGTTGCATGCAACTCTACCGCGATAACTTATGCGCATTAATGTTAGTATCGATCTTGCTTCGGTCATTAGCAGCTCACCACCCCCCGACAGCTCCTGGCCAACCTGCAGCTCACTCCGACCCCCTTGAAATATGGTAAACCTCATCACGGATACCACCACCGCCACCACTGCACATCCATCAACAGGCGAAACACCGCCTGCCACGGAGCGTTCTACTCATTATCATGGGGGGGTCATAGTCCCTGGGGGGGCATGTGCCCCCTCCTTCACGCTGCTACCCCCCCCCCCCCCCCCCCACAAGGTCAGATGTTTTAAAACAAGGTCTGCCTTTCACATTTAACACAAGCTTGGTGTATGTAAATTTACACACACACGGGCGCACAGTGTATGTTGGCGTCTCGAAATAGAACGCAGATTTGCATATCCTGCAGAGTGTGTGAAGATCACACCATACGCTCACCGCGCACGAAGAGCACGGAGATTCGTCCTTGCCCCCCCACCACCACACACCCAACTCGATCGAGAAGGGCTCCTCCTCTGTCTCTCTGTCTCTTTCGCTCTCTCTCTCTCTCTGCACCCAGGGGAGCGCTCTCCGCTGCACAGAGCACGGGTGGTAAAATCTGAAATTGACTGCCGCCGTCAGCTGCAGTCGCCACTTCTCGCGTCCATGTCATTCCTCGTTGCGTGGTTTGAGGCGGGCGACGTTTTACGCAGCCCCGCCGAACGCGCAAATCCGTCGGTACGGGTCGCAGAGTCCCCGTGTCGCTGCACGCAACGCCACGGGCTAACCGGGAACATTTCCTGGAGACCCCGGGGAGGGGGCAGAAATGCCACACGCGTGGCCTCCCACAGCCTTTTGTTAATTCAGCGACAAAACGACAAATGAGGGCCCATTGTGGAGGCCCTGCTTTGTGTGAGGTCTGGAGAAATGTTTTCTCCTCCATCACCACACCCCCCCCCAGCAGTGAGGCGCTGATTGCATCAGTCCTACTCAGTGACGTCCACGCACTAGGTTCTTCACTCGTTTTCAGACGTGGCGGGGGGAGGGTCACTTTCGCCGATAAGACATCGTCAGTGTGAGGGCCGCCACACCGTGTGAAACCTTTGGGGGTTTTGATAGCAGCACGATGGGGGTGTGTGTGGTGTGTGTGGTGTGTGTGTGCGGTGTGTGTGTGGTGTGTATGTGGTGTGTGTGGTGTGTGTGGTGTGTGTGTGGTGTGTGTGTGGTGTGTGTGGTGTGTGTGTGTGGTGTGTTTGGTGTGATGTGTGGTGTGTGTGTGGTGTGTGTGTGTGGTGTGTGTGGTGTGTGTGTGTGATGTGTGTGATGTGTGGTGTGTGTGGTGTAAGTGTGGTGTGTGTGGTGTGTATGTGGTGTGTGTGGTATGTGTGGTGTGTGTGTGATGTGTGTGTGGTGTGTGTGTGTGGGGTGTGTGGTGTGTGTGTGGTGTGTTTGGTGTGATGTGTGGTGTGTGTGTGGTGTGTGTGTGTGGTGTGTGTGGTGTGTGTGGTGTGTGTGTGGTGTGTGTGTGATGTGTGTGATGTGTGGTGTGTGTGGTGTGTGTGTGTGGTGTGTGTGGTGTGTGTGGTGTGTGCGTGTGGTGTGTCTGGTGTGTGTGTGTGGTGTGTGTGATGTGTGTGTGTGATGTCTGTGATGTGTGGTGTGTGTGGTGTGTGTGGTGTGTGTGTGTGGTGTGTGTGTGTGGTGTGTGTGGTGTGTGTGTGATGTGTCTGTGTGGTGTGTCGACTACCTCGTGTACCCATTGAGACTGCTGGGTGGTGAGAGGCGGAGAAGGAGGGGGGATTGAGCAACTTGCCAGATTGTTTCAACTGGCGACCTCCGTTCAACATACATACGTGTGTGTATGTATGTTGAACTTCTTTCGCACCGTACGTCGCCAACCGTGCTAATAACCAGTACACTACAGGGGCAGCTCTCTGAATTTCTCGTTTAAAGTTGTAAACCTGCTGGTGCGGAACAACGCAACGTACGTGTGTGCGGCAGACTGGTAACAGGTTTATTTTTTTTTACTGTCTAAAAAAACGATGTTACCGGTGCTGTAATACCATAACTAAGGTTTTAAGAGCCCACGTAAAAAAAAAAAACCGTGATCACCAATCAGTGGGAGACGTCCTCGAGAGAGCGATTCAGCTCAAGTTGCACGCGAAGCTGCAACCGATTGCTTGCGTTGGTAGAACCCCGATGGATCGAAGCGGCGACCAACACTGATGCACAATGTGCCACTCCATGTAGCTCAGAGATCGGCTCATGGAGTGATCCCTCTCCTCGGGAACCCTCTCCATCTCTCAAAACTAACTGTTTTTACTATTTTGATTTAAAGCTTTCGTGACTGCAGGGATTCATATTCTTGGTTCTTTCGGTAAAGTCACGTAGAAGGGAAACAATAAAATAATAAAAATTCTTAAACAATAAAATTCTCACGACGTTTCGACTGCAACACAAGCAATCATCTAATTTTCTTGCTGTGGTTTTCACACCTGATGATGATTGCTTGTGTTGCAGTCGAAACGTCGTGATAATTTTATTGTTTTTTATTTTTATTAATTTATTGTTTCTCCATCTACGTGACTTTACTGAAAGAACCAAGAATATGTTTCAACTATGTTTTATGTAACCAAGCAAGGCCCACTGAGCTATATATATAGAGCTATTTTTTCACGAAGCTAGCTGGCCACAAATGATAGCTCAACGAAGTGGCTTATTAAGTCGAAATTGATAGCAGCCAAATACTCTAAACGCGTGTTTCGAAATGTGGAGGGGGAAAAGC